CTGAACTTTGTACTGTAATAGTGTATTTCTAAGAACTCTGGTCGTATGAAATGGACTAAGTATTGTAAACTCGTTCTCATTATTAGATCCTAGAGGAAAAACGTGGATTATTCGAGGTCTCTCTTGAGGTGTGCTCGATGGAATCCACCCGATGTAGCTTGCTTTCGGGATGTTTAGTGTTTGGTGGAAGACGAGCGCCTCCGAATGTGTGTTATTTCGGACGGTTCTGCCACAGTAAAAAATCAACGAACAAAGTTCTCTCATTAAGGCCTTGTTTGGATACACATCTATCAAGACCAATCCACACACGTTGAAGTGGATTGGAGTGGAAATTAGTTTAAGTTCCACTCCAATCCACTTCAACACATGTGGATTGAGGTGGATATACGTGCATCCCAGCAAGACCTAAATGTTAGTTTAAGCAATCATATGCTATATACACATTTAGCACTTATATAATTAATCCTCTAATAACATATAAAATAGCCATTGCTTATGACTTAAGAGTTATGACAACTAGAAATTAGCGGGACAGAAAGGATGATCATGCCATGATCACGGTGCCTAAACATCTGACTCAGGTTGTTAGAGTTTTTTTTTAATGCCAAAACTTTGAGCAATAATGAGGAAAAAAACGTGCTATATCTATATATATTCACGGGAGGAATCTGATTCAGCCGACCCCTTCCATCATCGTGCAATTTTTCTTTGGTGCACTTTTGGTGTGCGGGAAGCAATGGATGCTTTCGGTTAGCAATCGCTCTGATTGCTACCCATCTCTCCGATCCATGATGCTGACGTGCAGCGGTTGCTCAGTCTCTCATTTGCACGGGGACGCGTGGTTCTCACGGGCCAACTGTGAGCTGACGTGTTGTCTCGACGGCCGACATGGCCCCTGGCCCCGGTTACGCAGTCTTTGTTCCACGTAGAGGCCGTGCGCTGTCTGCCGCTCACACGTTGGTCACTCGGGAGGATGATTGTAGAAGCGCGGGCCCAGTGAGTAATGACTAATGACTCATTGATCAGTTCAGATTTCGGAGAGCATATCCGGAAGTTTTTCTAAAATCTACTTTTTAAATCATCATTTAGAGGGCTCTAGGTTTGCATACAACTATATTGATTTTAGTAAAGGGTGCTTTAGACGTAGGCGGTTCCGAATTAATGCCAGAATCATTTGAGTAAAAAATATTTTCTATATCTTTATACTCTCTAATAAATTTTATATTTTTTGTGCGTAAAGCCCTGTCTGGAGCCCTCCAATTTTTAAGAATCTTGTTTTTAAAAACCGAGTGTGATCGAAATAGGCTAGTTTTTGCCTAGTTTCTTATGTCAATTTTTGCCGATTCTTTAAAACTAAGAACATGTTGATATCTAGTTTTTGCCAGTTTTATATGACCTTGTAAGTAATAAATAAAGCTAGATTCTAAAATCCTGGGGATCCAAACACCCCACTAATTTTCTCAGAATCTAGATTTTAAAAACTAGAGGTAAAAATTGGTTTTTAAGAATACGAAACTGATGCAAACAGGCTTGTAGTCTAATGAACCATTTTCGCTCTCCGTGTTTTGAGAAATTCAAAACAGAGGAGGTAAAAAGTTACCGGAATATATATAGTATGTACGTATATGTGAATACATGATGACACGTTAATACAGGCAACAGCCAACAGGCAAGTTTGCTTCGGCCTGCCGGCCAGCGCTTCTGGCCTGGTGGGCTCTGCTCCACTTGATGGGCCTCGTCGCGTCGGTTACTGGCCATAAGCCCAGAACGGAGCACGGAAGGAAGCTGGGGATCGGACTCGTCTGCTCGTTTGCCTCTCTCTGACTCCGTCTCCTCCTACCGTTGTAGTATTCGCTTAAGTCATGATTAAAAATATTGTTGATTGATTTATTATGAGAAAAAATATTATTTATTAACTGAAAAAATATAGCTTATAAGTCAAAGTTAACAGGGCGAGTATCGGTTATGATACCGCTCTCGTCAAATAAACTCGGCTCCGTTATTTTTTTGTCCTCGTTAATTTAGGATTTCCTAATTTAGGCCGTTAAAACGATCGCACCTCATGTCCACGTCTCAGTCCGCCCCGTCGTAATAAGCGCCTGCGAATTCATCGCACGCCTCTCCTAGCGCCCCGTCTGACTCGGCTCTGTTCCGCCCTTTTTTTTTTGTCCTCGCTGTTAATTTAGGGCCTGTATAATAATTTAGATTGAAAAGAGTTAAAAAAATTTGGTAAGACTCAATGAATAACTTTCGTTTTAATTATTTGATAATTATTGTTCAATCATAAAGTGTTAATTGGAAACCTAATCTAGACTCAAAAGATTTTAGGCTCTCGTAATCACACAAGTATTAATCAAACCAGTTTGGTTAGGTAATTAATTAGTTATTTTTTTATCTATATATTCTTATTTTTTAGGATAAATTGCATGTCTTACCATAGTTTGAGTTTGATGGATTCATGATATTGGATTTGGAAAGCCTTATAATTTAAAAAAACTTGGAATTTTAGGACAAAAGCAATCTAAATAAGGCATAGGATTTCCTAATTTAGGCCGTTAAAAACGATCGCACCTCATGTCCACGTCTCAGTCCGCCCCCGTCGTAATAAGCGCCTGCGGTTCATCGCACGCAGCCATGGCACGTGGCGCAGCGTAACAGATTCAGAACCCAGCAGCCGCTGGGCCTTCCGCCCTTCATCCAATCCTGCGCGGGCAACCGGTACCCAGTCGTGTTCGAGTCGTAGGTTGTTCAAAGTTCGACGTCATGTATATATAATCAATTTAATCTTGCAAAATGTATAATAATAAATCACACAAAATTTGAGAAATCCTGAATAGATTAGAAAATAGTTTAGGCTTCTCAATGCATAACGTTTGTTAGCTTTTAATTATTTTCTAAAAATGATGATAAAAATCAAAATGCATAATAATAAATCATAAAGTGTTAATTGAAAAAAGTGAAACCAATTTGGTTAGGCTAAATCTAATGACAAGTATTAATTGAAAAAAACAATTTGGTTAGGCTAAATCTAATCGCACAAGTATTAATTGAAAAAGGTAAAACCAGTTTGGTTAGGCTAAATCTAATCACACAAGTATTAATTGAAAAAGTAAAACTAATTTTGTTATTCTAAACAAATAAGTATTCTAGGTATTTTTAGGATAAATTAAGATGCAAATAAATGACATATGTAATCCTCCTTTAATCATAGAGAGATCTCGTGCTTACCATAGTTTGAGTTTGATGGTATGCATGTTATTGGTATTTGGGAGTTAATTCACCTCGAATGCCTTATAATTTAATTATTTTTAAATGCTTCAATACCTTATATTTTAGGACAAAAGGAGTAAAAAAAAGTAAACCAACTCTATTAAATTTCTATAAACTACATCTACATGATATATCTCTATCTACACATAAAAAGTGCTAAAAGGAATCATCTACACTCCTATCCCGCCGCATGGATATAAGGAGACATTTACTAACGCGTGCGTCTGATCACGCGTCTTGGCTTTAGATTGATACCCGCTCCCCCGGAGTCTGTGCCGACTCCATCGTCGAGGGAACAAAAATGTTGTGCTAGATTGATTAATGACGGCTTTAATTATAGCATGGAGATTAATCTCACGCCTCGCTCGTGGATGCACCATTGCTCATTGACACAGCCGCTGATGCGCCGCCATCCGCTCGCCCTACTCATGCGCCTCGCCCGCTCGCAGATGCGCCACCGCCCGTGACACAGCCACGGATGCTTCGCCACCCACCATTGATTGGTGAAGGAAGCCGACAGGAATTGGCGTCAGAGCACCTATGGATTGAAACCACCGCTGGTGTCGTGGAAGAGTCAATGACGTGGATGAGTAAAAGCATCGAGTAACCGCCGCCGCTGGTGACATAGAAGAGTGAACGACGTCGATAGAGGAAGGACATCGAGCACACAAGGTCGAATATGGGCAAAAAAGCATGAACCCGTACACCGCACGGATGTATCTAGTTTACGCTAAAAATATGGACCGCTTTCGTCCAACAGCGCTTCGTGCGCGCGCCCGCCCGCTACCTCGCCCCGTACGGCGAACGTAATCGCCCGTGTACCTACGTTTGCGTCAGAGCCCACGTACGTCACGGCAGCTGGATACCAAACTGCAGACCGAAGGACTCCGACTACTCCGCTACTTATACATACATCCCTAACATGCGTACTCCATAACTGGATAATATTGTATATTATTGTATCATGCATCACACGACGACATAGATGCATCTACATGCTATGGTTTTCTTAAGTGTCATAAAATCTTGAAACATTTATCATGAAGAAAATCTTTATTCTATCATGTGCTCTCTCCAAAGTAAATCTAGATTGTTTTGTTCATGCCATGAAAAAAAATCTAAATATCTTTAACAATCTTAATTAATTCGTAGAGATTTGTTGCTGCTTCTAACTGCTTGCAGTTGTGCATTGAGTATACTTTTTAAGCAAATGGTGTAATAAAGCTTAAGTTTCACAGCTGGGTTTACGCCTCAAAAATTGACAACTCCATCTCTAATATGTTCTGTATATAGAAATTTTGAATAAAATTAATGTGTTTTGTAGTGCTAAAAAAGTTGTATTTCGAAACCGTTTGTCGCAGACCGGCGCTCATGGCTTCAATCCAGCCTATGACCAAAACCATGCAACGGTGTGGTTCTGCACCCCTTCAGACGCAACAATGCGCACTGGTTCGTTGCAATGGATGGAGCATCGGCCTACGTGTTTTAGACCTTAACTTTGGTTGCCACCCAGCCTACACTATCAGACAAAAATTAATTCACCATGCAACGTACGGACATATATCTAGTCTAAATCTAAATCCGATCAGAGCATCAGCCATCAGGAGTTCAGGACGTAGACGCTGTGGCCGACGGACGGCAGACGACGGCACCATGACTCAACGCGGTGGCCGGCGCCGGGCGGACGGGGACTGCACAAGCCCTGATCGCCTGAAACTGCAAGTGCAACGATGGCACCAAAGAAGAATAGATATGTGATGAAAGGTATTTTTTATTTCATAAATTAGAATTCTAAAAAATCTATCTTTGAGTGTTATTTAATTCAACTAGCATTTAGATTGATACACATTATACACGGATGTAGGCATCAGGCATGTAGCCTGTAGGTTTAATAAATAATAATCAATAGTTCAATTATTAATTTATTGTTTGCCTTTTTTGTCTTGTGATTTTTTATACAGATTTGACGAGTATTTTTGCCAAAGCATTTAGCATTAGCAGCTGCAACCCAGCTCTGCCTGTAGATGGTGTTGCTGGACAAGAAGAAGAGGAAGAGGATGTGGGCATTGAGGTTCTAGTGGGTATTCAAGAGCAGAGAATGAAGAGGAAATTCATGTTGATGATCAGGCCACCGTTGATGATCAGGCCACTATTGATGATCCGATAGCTAGCCAAGGGGAAGGGGATGGGCTGATTGAAGTGATGAACTCAGACCACGTTGAGCCTGATCCAAGGCTTTGGATTCTAATTGATGATTTTCATCCCAACATCAGAGATGAAGTTAGATTGGCTTATGTGGCAAAGGGTCCAACTCGACCAGTTGGTCATGATTATCCTCGTGACCATTTTGATAGAAATTTTTGTGAAACATGATACACAAAACATCCTTGGCTGGAATATAGTGTGGAGAAAGATGCAGCTTATTGCTTCTATTGCTTTCTTTTTAGGCAAGATCCTGTGGATGAAAAAATTGGTTATACTACCTTCACCAAAGAGGGGTATACAACTTGGAAGAATGCATACAAAGCATTATTCTCTTCATGTTGGTGGTGCCAAGAGTATCCACAATCAAGCAAAGACAGCATGTGAAGATTTCAAAAATCAAAGGTCAAGTCTAAAACATAAGGTTACAACCTATAGCAAAGAATCACTAGTCAAGTATGAAACCCATTTGGACACATCTTGGGGAATTGTAAGTTATCTTGCACTGCAAGGTGAACCATTTTGTGGACACGATGAATCTGTTTGTTCCATGAATATGGGTAATTTTTTTTAGAGATGCTTGATTGGTACAAAGAAAGGAAGGTTGATGTCTATATTTAGATATCCAATTGAAGAGACTGTTAGAGGGTATTTTTTTACCAAAATCTCTATTTCCGTAAACTAGAAAAGATATAAAGAGTCTATCGAAGATGCTCTGATACTGTCAAAAAAGAATACAATTTTGCATTTTTATCAACTTATCTAAATTTTAACCAAATATATAGATAAAAATAATAATATTTATGACACTAAATAAATATAGTCTAAAATTATATTTTACAACAAATATAATTATACTTATTTGATATTATAAATATTGATAATTTTTACCTATAATTAGTCAAATTCAAGATATTTTAATTTAATATTATATTAGGATTATATTTTTTTGTGAACGAATGGTGGAGTTGATGAACTAATTTATTTTCATTCATCACATTATGAGCTGGCTCACGAGCTGCTTGTGAGCCAAACGAGCTGAAACAATAAGCTGGCGAGGAGTTCAACTGCACTCAGCTCAGGGCACAAGTTCACTTCGAGTCGGCCCAAAACTAATTCTACTCTCGCACATGGCACAGCCGCACGAAGCCGGCGGCGCTCCACTGCTCTAGCCTCCAAGCCTGTGAGGCTACGACCATCCGGCCGCCAAGCACCCCGTCCGGGAGCAATCTCAAATGCTCAATCACGCCTTTGTTTGTCTCTTCCTCTAATCATTTCGCAAGGAGAGGCTTGGCATACTCTGCGATAAGCTAAATCAGGCAGCCAGGACGAGGCACTGAAGTACTGAACGGTGAGCCTAGCCTAGCTTTGGATTTGCGCTGTTGTGATTTTATTTTTTTTACCGATCAAGGATTGCTGTTGTTTGGTTCACTATTGATGTTTCTGCTATACTGCAACGCGAGCCACGCAGCACGCTCGGAATCTTCACGAGCTGTAGCGAGCCGAGCCGCGCCAGAGTTTCCGAATAAGCCCCAATTTTGGAATTAGGGTTGGACTCGGATCTCGACCCGACCCCGCGTGCGCTCCCCTGGGCCGAACAAAACCCCGGACTGCTACCGTGGTTAGCGTTTCAATAGTCTCTCTGCCTGCGCCGCCGCCGTCGGCGGCCCCGTCCTACGCTGGGCGCGAGGCCTTCGTCGATATCTTCATCGGCGACGAGCACCAACCAGGTATTCGAACCCCTTCTCTTCCCTTCCTGCTGTGCAAAACCGTGCACCCGAACCCTCGCTTAAAAACTACTCCGTATTTGGCTATTTGATGCCTACTAATTCGAACTTCTTCTTCTTCTTCTTTTTTCAAAAATTAGGTTCCTCTATTTGATGGCGGCGCCTCCGGTCACGGCTCCCGCGACCTCCGGGTGTCTGTCCGGTGCCAAGGCGCGCTGGGCTGCTGAGCGGAGCTCCAGCTCGTTTGCCGTCTCGTCTCCTGCGATTGGCCTTTGCCAATTTGGGAGCCGCGTCCTCAGCGTCCGTGCCAAGGTGAGCGTGGGACGAGATTATCGTTTCCACAGATTTGACTACTCTACTAAGCGTCAGTGACTTCTTTGGTAGTTTGGTTGTGGTGCTTCAAAAAAAAAAAAAAAAAGGAAAAACGTGCAATCGTCTCATCCAAATTCCATGCTACCGGAAGATTCTGGATCCGTTATTTACTGTTGGCTGTTGATTGTTTTTACCCCTATGTTGGCTACTGATTGTTTTTACCCCTATGGAATTGAGCTGTTTCGTGTTCTTCCACGCAGGTTGCCACCGGCGTGCAGAGGGCCAGCATTGTGGATGATGGAGGTGGGTTGTCTTTTACTCGCTGATTCAGATATCAAGTTTTGTATTTGGCACGTGGAGTATGCGCTTGGGATTTTGTAGCATGATTCTTTTTTTCCCAAGTTGTAGCACGATTCATTGATAACGTACCTTACAATTTGAGAGCTCCGTTATTTCTGGTTTCACCATTTTTGAAATCTCTATGCAGCGGAAAGGCCGTGGAAGCTCAGTGATGCTCGTCTTGTCCTGGAAGATGGTTCTGTGTGGAGGGCCAAGTCTTTTGGTGCTTCAGGAACACAAGTCGGTGAAGTTGTTTTCAACACATCACTGACAGGGTAAATCATTTTGGACTGAGTTATGCTTTTTGTCTGAGTGGTGGTTTGTTTTGCATGCTTGGTTGGTTATTGTTTTTCTGAGCAGTGGCATGTTTTGCATGTCTTGGCTGATTATTGTTTGTTTTCTCAGTCAAGTTGCTGTTCACTCAGGCAATTCTCATATTAGGATTTTAGATATTTGATGGGGGGCACACTTACTCCTGTCACCTAACCACCTCTTCGATTTTACTGTACCTGTATCACATATTGATTTACCTTAGTCATAGTTATATGAAGCAAATGAACATAAATGACTATAAATTTGTGTGTGTGTGTGTGTGTGGGGGACTTCATTGAGGTGAGACAACCTGGCAGAGATATATTATTCAGCGGAGGCATTGGGCCCTGGAGATACAGAGGATTGTTAAGTCGTTCAGAAGTTAGGCTGGTGATATTTGACACAGACTGTACTAGTTTTGGCATTCAGAGTGCTGCATTTCCTCGACAAACCTTTCTGTACTATTGAATTGAACATGACTTGTTGATGATTATGCACCATTCTATGTTGGACTAAGAATTGTTACTTATGTGGCGCATTTGTGGTTGTAGCTATCAGGAGATTTTGACTGATCCAAGCTATGCTGGTCAATTTGTCCTGATGACCAATCCCCATATTGGGAACACTGGCGTTAATCCTGGTTTGTTACTTCTCTACTTGAGAGATTTAATATACCTTTTTTTGACAATTTAGCATGAATTAAGTATAATGCTCTTGCAGATGATGAAGAATCAAACCAATGTTTTCTTGGTGGCCTAATCATAAGAAATCTAAGCATATGGTTAGATTTTTTCCTTTGTTTTTGTTATTTTTGGCATTTTAAAAGAACTATACCCTTTTTATCTGTTAAAATGATATTTTCTGTTGTAGTACTTCCAACTGGCGATGCAAAGAAACACTTGAAGAGTATCTGATTAAGAGGAACATCATGGGAATATGTAAGTGATATAGAAGCTAACCTCCCTCCCTCTCTCTCTCTCTCCCCCTCCCTCTCCCTCTCGCTATCCCTATCCCTCTCCCTTTCTCTGTCTTATGTATGGACTCACCGACTCAGACACACATATGATCTAAATTCACCATGGATTTACGTTTTTGACAGATGACGTGGATACACGTGCTATAACACGAAGATTAAGAGAAGATGGTAGTCTTATTGGTGTCTTGAGTACTGATCAGTCTCAGACAGACAATGAGTTGTTGGAAATGGCCCAAAAGTGGAAAATTGTTGGTATGTTAAAACTTCATCGATCAACAATGTCCTTGAAAGAAGTGACTTTCTTCTTTTTTATGCACACTTCAGTATCTATCTCCACTGATGAACCTAAATGACTGCATAGTGGTCAGCTTAGATATAATAGATTTCTTTTCCCAACATATTCCAGTGAGAACTAACTTTATATGTATTGAGCTGTTTATTCTTTTGCTTTTGATTTATATTAATTGGATTGTAGAGCTGTCGTTCTGATATCATAAGCGTTTTGACCTTTGAAAGAACATAATCAGTGAATTATCACTTCAAATATTTAATGGGTTCAGAAAAGAAAAGAAAAATATGGGATTATAGAAAGCAGCTAAAATATCCACTTCTAAAATTGGTTGAATCTGTTGGAATACTTTGATTTCCCACTGTTTCAAGGGAGTGATTTAGTTATTTGATATTGTTCGGCACCTCGGTGCCATGTTCGGTACATTGTTAGTAGTTATTACTATTGCAAATGACCTTTGGATGATGTTTAAGCTGTTAGTTTCTTGGCTCTAATAATGAAAGAAACATTCATGTTGATATTACGCAGGAGTGGATTTGATTAGTGGTGTCACATGTGATGCTCCATATGAATGGTCGGACAAGACCAATTCAGAATGGGAGTTCAAGAGGGATCAGTCAAGTGAAACTTTCCATGTCAGTATTGACACTCTTTCCTACACATCCGAAATAAATATTGTACCTGATATTCACTTCATTTCTTCTATAGGTGGTTGCCTATGACTTTGGTATCAAGCATAATATTTTGAGACGATTGACATCATATGGATGTAAAATAACAGTTGTTCCAGCAAATTGGCCTGCTTCAGAGGTACTCAATTTGAAGCCTGATGGTGTTCTTTTTAGCAATGGTCCTGGAGATCCAGCTGCAGTTCCGTATGCTGTGAAGACAGTACAAGAAATAATTGGGAAGGTTCCTGTTTTTGGCATCTGTATGGGCCACCAATTGATTGGGCAGGCTCTTGGTGGGAAGACATTTAAAATGAAATTTGGTCATCATGGTGGGAATCACCCTGTCTGCGATCTCCGTAGTGGACGTGTAGACATAAGTGCACAGGTTTGTTCCTACCTCTTACTTTTCTTTATGCTTGATGTGATTCATGTTGTCTGTTAAAAAAACCAACCTTGGACGAACTAGGCATCTTTGAAATTAAGAAAGAAATAAGCGCCCAGATTAGCAGATTAGACTTGATGAGTTTTTGTGGTGGTCTGGGCATACATACACACCCACAACGAACTGAGCCAGCTCAGTTGTCATTCAGCTGAAAAAAGGAGTTGGGTTTAAATAATTACTAGTTTATGTTAATCTTCATTGCAATGACCACCGTCTACTGTTGTATCTCTATTTGTTGAGAGGTGCTGCACGTCTTTCATCTGTACCTTTAGTAAATTTGAGTTTCTCAGAGTCTTCATATAGAATTGCAATTTTGTTTTGTTAGGCAATCATGCCACAACCAATAGCAGTATAGCCTGCTAGAGTAAGTAAATATGACAAGTCAGTTGAGATATAAAATCGATTATTGGTTGAAATGAGTGGGCGTTCCCACTAAGAAGATTATGTTTTACCTCCTAATTATGGTAGTATCCATGCTGTTACTTTTCTCTAATCCATATTACTGAGAATCTGAAATCACTATTCTTCGTTTCTTTACTTGTGATGCTTCCTAGCTTGTATTTGTATTCTGTATTGTCCTAAAGCATGATTCATTTCCCTGTAGAACCATAACTACGCAGTTGACCCAGAATCACTTCCAGAAGGAGCAAAAGTAACTCACGTCAATCTCAACGATAATAGTTGCGCTGGCCTTCAGTACTCCAAGATGAAGCTTATGTCTCTCCAGTACCATCCTGAGTCTTCCCCAGGTCCGCATGACTCAGACACAGGTACATTTCTTTTGCAAATCTTGTATAGATCCACCATGGTGTAGAACGTACTGCTAACTTAATGTGATTTAGCTGATGTCTCGATTCATCTTTTGTGTTTTACAGCCTTCGGTGAGTTTATAGAGCTCATGAAGAGCAACAGATTGTGAGGGAGGGAAGTACTTGAAATGAAAAAGGTCAATAATTGTATTGGTGCTCTCTCGCACCAAGCTCAAAAGAATTTGTTGCATTTTTAGTGTTTTTCTTTTGGATGTTCATGTGCTTGAATTTTTGGGTCGAGAGGACATAGCATGAGATGCTCTGCGACCTGGTTGAATTTCGTGAGAATAACATGTTATCAAATTGTACGGTACAGTATACTTATGCCTCGCCAATTTCTGATCGGCAAGTAAAGTGGTCATGACGAGCACCAGTAGACTAGTAGAGATAAAGGATGGCCATGAAGGTTGGTCAGTGGATACTTTTGTTGTTCCAAGCTAATCAGATGTGCACAACGTTGTTGTCAACTTTTTAAATGTCTGATGGAAAATCATCCAGCTTTTCGATGTGCATCTGATCTGGAAACTTTCTCGTTTATCCGTAGTGCACTTGTAGATGCTCTGTCTAACCAGATTGACGGTGTGACGAGGAGGAGAAAAGGGGTTTGGATTACTTTTTTTTTTTTGTTAGAGATTGCCTTGTTGGTATTTCTAATGTCGTCGATACGTCTATGTTCGAAGTTGAGGTGTTCTGCTTTCGATTACCGTGTGTTTTCGGCAATTTGTGTAAAAAAAAGTCACAAGATCTCTTATAAAAAGTAGAAAAGATCACAAGACCTGAGAATTTGCTCTCTCTTTCAGCATTTTGCTAGATGTTTGGTCAGAGGTTGTAAGCACATCACCATCTAGGAAAGGTAAGCGAGAGTGCGCGAGAATCTGACTTCTAGGTTTGCCGAGCATTTTTGGGAGGTGTGACTAGACTAGACTAGGTTTACCGAATAATCGCGCTCCGCACGGCTTCCAGGGACCGGTTGTTCTCTGCTTCAATGTTCTTTCCTTCTTTTTCTTCGTCTGAAGAATTTTTCTAAGAGAAAGAGCAATACAAATATCACCCGACTTAGCAAAAACGAGATTAAAGAATGCTAGAGCCATAGCAACTACTACTCCTGACTCCATCTCACCTGTACTCTCGTTTGGGCTCAGCCACGTCCATGTCCATCCCGGCCCTTGGTCGGTACTAACATCGAAGCATCCTCCTCCGCCCACACCGTCGTGCTCAAATTCGGCCTTGCCAGCGCCGCCGAACTCGCCAGAGTCCAGCGCCGACCCAAGCACGTGAAGACACCACCGAGAGGAGCTCTCTGCTCCCGCTCGTGGTCGTTGTCGTCGTCATCGCTTCCCGGGCCTGAGAAGCGTGATATTTCTGTTGTTCTGGACTTCACCCCTGCCTTTCCATCCCCCGTCCACCCCGCGTGATCTTGCTCGTGCGGCAAGGCGTACGCGTCCTCTCCATCGTGCGGCAAGGCAACCGCCGCCGTCGCCCTAAGCCAGGTGCCCAGGTTTTCGTCGGTCCCTTCGCCAGGCCCTTCCTCGCTTGCCGGCGACGAGCACCCACTAGGTATCCGCACCCTCCCTCTCCCATTCATGCTGTGCGAAACCGATCACCTGAATCCCACCCGAATTGTACTTAAGCTACTTGGCTATTTGGTATTCGGATCTGATCTAATTACAAGTGTTTACATGCTTACTAACTTACTTTACTTTTTACTTTTTACTTTTTTTTTGCAAAAATTATTGGGCACCCACGTCCTTTACTGGGTGCGCCCCTTGTTCTTCGTTAGAGCTCAATTCATGTTCTGCACAATAGCTGCTGGCCATTCTCCCTGCATTGTAGAATTTGCGCTAAAAGTAAACATCAAGTACAGAGTTACATGAAAGTATGGTACAAAAGTTAGAGAAAGGAAAAGTGAAAGCAACAGTGAGAAGGGGTTAGGAAGTAGGATGTACAATATAATTGGATTCGGCAGTTAGGTGACACCGACCTTGAAGCCAATCAGTCTATGTTTTGAGCCTCTTAGGGAACCCCTGAATTTCTGTAGCTCTATTATATCTTTGATTTTTCTGTTTCCATCTGTTGTGCAGACTACAATTGCATCTTGAAGAATAAAATGGACCAACATGATTCCATGTCTGACTCACCAAGGAGGCGGTACAACCTTCTGCGTGACAAGGTCCAACTGGTGAAAAGGAAGGACTCAAATCGCTATGAGATTGTCCGCTTCCATGATTCATTGTCTTTTGAGAAAGGCTTCTTTGTTGTGATCCGTGCTTGCCAGCTCTTGGCGCAGCACAATGACGGGATAATATTTGTTGGTGTTGCTGGCCCCTCTGGTGCTGGGAAGACGGTGTTTACTGAGAAGGTGGTCAATTTCATGCCTGATGTTGCTGTGATATCAATGGACAACTATAATGACGCAACTCGCATAGTCGATGGCAATTTTGATGGTAGTCCTAATCACAAAGCACTTTGCATATTGTCTTATTGTTTATTTAATCTGTAAATGCCACTTCCTTCACAACAACAAAATTTCTGGAAAAAGCAATAAAAGATAGTTATGCTACATATATCTTTAGCTGTGTCTCTTGCACATTTAGTCATTTGGAAACTGCATTCTGTAAGGTGATAGTGTTTCCTACCAGAGAAATTGATATGTTCACCTCTTAAAACTTGCTCAGATCCACGTCTGACAGACTATGACACACTGCTGGAAAATATTCATGGTCTGAAGGAAGGAAGGTCAGTTCAGGTTCCAATATATGATTTCAAGTCGAGCTGCCGGACCGGTTATAGGTAAATAATCACTGCTATCTTTCAATATTACAAGCTAAAGTCCATACTTCATCATTCATTCGAATATGATCATTCATTTGAATATCATAATTTCTTATGTGCAAACAGAACAGTTGATGTCCCTAGCTCCCGAATTGTTATCATTGAAGGTATTTATGCACTGAGTGAGAAGTTACGGCCTGTGATGGACTTGCGTGTTTCTGTCACTGGTGGTGTCCATTTTGATCTAGTGAAGAGAGTTTTAAGGGATATACAGCGAGCTGGCCAGGAGCCTGAAGAAATAATTCATCAGATCTCTGAAACGGTAGGTTGAATTTTTCAACTTGGCTATACATTTTATGATCAATCTTGTGGTTCATGTTAACATGTGAATTACCTCTTACTGTAATTGGTGTGGTTTAATGAAAGATGACATTTTCAGGTTTATCCAATGTACAAGGCTTTCATCGAACCAGATTTGGAGACCGCACATATTAAAATCACCAACAAGTTCAACCCATTCTCAGGGTTCCAAAATCCTATGTACATTCTAAAGGTAGGCATCTCGAGAAAATTGTAGAATTGTGCACCAATGACATAGTTTCAACAACAAATGCTGAGAAAATTGTTGAATTGTGCACCGCCTGCAGTCACCAAGGTCTCTAGCACCTGAGAAAATCAAGGCTGTGCTTGGTGATGATCATAAGGAAAGCAACGAAGAAACTTATGATATATATCTACTTCCACCTGGTGAAGACCCAGAAGCCTGCCAATCTTACTTGAGAATGCGGAATAGGGAAGGGAAATATAATCTAATGTTTGAGGTATATCCGTTTTATGTTTTTTCCTATCTTACCCGTGGAATTCCAGTTTTATGCTTTTCTCTCTTATGAATGGAATTTCAGTTTTATGTTTGATAGCTACGAATTATACTTTTGAGTGGTATTGTTAGTTGATAATGTTCTGATACTAGTACTGTATAAGGTTCTTTGGATTAAGTCCACTCCTTAGCTGCCATGTAATTCTATTCCATACCATATTTCCCCTGGAATCTTTGCTAGAACATGAAAAACTAAAAAAGGGCGGACCTAGTGCAGAGAGCTCCCGCTCTGTGCGGGGTCTGGGGAAGGGTGTCAGTGGCAAGCCTTACCCTCGCATGTGCAATGCGAGGAGACCATGACTCGAACCTAGGACCTTCCGGTCACAGGCGGTAAGACTCTACCGCTTGCACCAGGCCCGACTAGAACATGAAAAACTAATTCAGTTCAATTTTCATCGCAGTCAGATTCTAAATTTTACTTCTCTTTTTATATTTTCTAGATCTGCTTAATTTAACACATTTGATCAGTCTCCCCTGCAGTCACTTAGACTTACCTGTATTTGTTTCTATTGTCTGTGGCTACATGCAATAAACAAACCCTTGCTGGCAGCCCTGGTGTTCACTAACTCTCTTATGTTATTTTGTGCTCGAAGGAATGGGTAACCGACAATTCTTTTATCATATCACCAAGGATCACTTTTGAAGTCAGTGTACGTCTTCTTGGTGGTTTGATGGCATTGGGATATACTATAGCAGCTATACTGAAGAGAAGCAGTTGTGTTTTTTCTGATGGCAAGGCAACTGTTAAAATTGATTGGCTGGAACAACTTAACAGACAGTATATACAAGTGAGCATAATCTTTGTTGTCTGGTTGATGTAGTTTCTCTCAATGTCATTGTTATCTCAGGTTCTTGAATACTGTTTATTTCATTATTACTTTTTTTTAACTATTTAAGATGTGCAAATGTTATGACCTTGCTTCTTTCTTTAGGTGCAAGGAAGAGATCGTCTTTATGTTAAATTTGTAGCGGATCAGTTAGGTTTGGATGGTTCTTATATACCACGCACATATATTGAACAAATTCAGCTGGAGAAATTGATTAACGATGTTATGGTATGTATATTTTAGTAGTTATGTTGCTTACACGGTATATTCATATTTCTTCTAGTTGTTTCGTTTAGTTCATTGGTTGGATCTGACTGCTATGTAGGCATTACCAGAAGATTTGAAGACAAAGCTCAGCATCGATGATGAGCTGGTCTCAAGTCCAAAGGAAGCCTTTTCCCGTGTTTCTGCTGATCGGAGGAACAAGCTTATGAAGAGGTTTCATAATAACATCCTTGTTTCAAGTTTGAACTTTTGAAACTTTGGAACCTGAATGAAGTTAGTTGACTTTCTTATCATGTTGTCCAGTGGCCTATCTCAATCATATTCAACGCATGGAGACAAAAATATTGTGAAATTGAGTAAACTAACAGAAACCAACAGGAGGTTTGGTGCAGGGCGAGCCCTTGAACCGCCTGCTATCAACCAGGTGACTTTTGTGAAGAATTATCACTAGCATGGCAGTTGAAAGCCTCAACGAAAACATATGTTATCGCTGACTTGCAAATGTTCTTGTTTCCATTTCTTTTTCGTAGGGTGCAATCACCCAGCTTTCAGAACAGATATCAACATTGAATGAAAGGATGGATGAGTTTACCTCTCGAGTTGAAGAACTCAATTCAAAATTTACGGTGAAGAAACATTTGCCCAGTCAGCAGAACTTAGCTCTTCCAAATGATGCTTGTAATGGTTCAACACCTACAAATCTCTTTCTCTCTCAGTTAGGCAATGGTACTCTGATACCTCATTCTTCATCGTCAAACCAACTTGCAAAGGATTCCCCGATGATAGAAGAGGTCTCCCTCTCTCTCTCTCTCTACCTTTTTTGTAGCTTGTTGGAATTAGATGTAGGAAGTATTGTCAACATTGTTCAAACATTAGTTTATCAAACATTTTTAAAATTCGGTGTGATTGTTTAGACCTCAAACAGATTCTAACAGTTCGATAAAAATAGCAAAGAATCAGGGTTGTCATTAGTGTCCTCAAATTAAGTGGACAAGTGGGTCACAAATTCAATCCTGTTCTAGTTTATCTAGTCTGAAATAAGTAAAAAGAAAAGTAAGTAATCCAGTTCCATTTCCAGTACAGGTAGTGTCACAATATTGTTAACAATGACAAAAAACTATGTAACTATAGATCTATGGATGTAGAATCATATCTGGATTGCCAAATACACATATTGTGGAGAACAATGATTATTGGATGGTTTCATAATATAGTTTGATGTAATATTAGCTTTCATGAACAGACTAACAAAATCAATGAAACTAAATATCATCTAGTGTCAGCAACTAGTATAAAATTATTTGAAACTTGTATGCACCTTCTGCAACATTCAGCTGTATTTCAGGTAAACAATCCCATATCGTCTTTCCAAAAAATAAAAAAATGTGGCATAAAATATTCATGTGGCAGAGGTTCTTAATGACAAGACTCGAAGCTGCCAATGGGCATATGATTTTTCTTCTTCTTTGTAGATATGTATTGTGCAAAGCCTAGGCTGAATGAAACATTGCACAAATTTTTCTAGTATATGCAATTAGTTTGATTATAAAGTATGTTGTGATATTTAGTATTTATTCTAAACCTCACCATAAAAACATGAGTGTTGGTTGTGCCTATCTTAATAAACATGAGTGTGGTTGTGCCTATCTTAGTGTAACACATTCTTTTGTACATATCTTGACTTGACATTTCATGTTTGATGCTTTGTTACCTACGCAGATTATGAACATATCAAGAGGTCAGCGCCAGGTTATACATCAGCTCGACAATCTAACCAACCTGCTTCATGAGCATTTGGTCTTAACACGCCAAGCAAATACCGCTAGCAGGAACCGGGTGCTGGATATCGACACAGTCATCTGTCCACTTATTTGCCTGACTGTTGCCAGTATTGGGTACTTCATGTTTAAAGGTCTCAACAGGGGCTGACCAAAGTGAGTCGGCCCAAACATGTGCTCTGAGGCTCACCATCTAGTTTTGGCGGAACTGGAGGAAGCAACCGTCACAACTCAACTGATCTGCAATACCCCCATAGTCCAGAGTACTGATGCTGTCTCTCCTGCAAGCTAAAGGAAGACAGTTCTCAACCGTTTACATCAGGAAGACCATATCTAACAGCTTACAAAGTCCTAAGACAGATAAACTCATATACCAGCACATGCAACAAAGCCTTCGCTTTTTAGGGAATTATTACTCCCAAACGCAGAAAATGATGTACTGTAACGGGTACTGGCAGTCCCCAGTGCCAATAAATTTTGGAGATTGATAGTAATCCTCAGATAATTATGAGAGATCGACAAGTTTAACTGAATATAGGCCCTGTTTGGTTACCCATCCTAAAAACTTTAGGAGCTAAAATCTGGATAAAATTTGCCTAAAGAACCAAACAACCCCTCCTAAAAGCTTCTAAAAACTTTAGAAGGGGCCAAACACTTTAGAAGCTCCACCCCTCCTAAAACCTCCTCAAGTCCTTCCTCCCCCCTCTCTCTCTCTCTCTCCCACCCTCCCTCCATCCTGCGCCTCCATCCTGCGCCCCCTTCTCCTTCCATTCTGGCGGCGGTGGGCCTCTTGCGGCCCCTACCCTCCACCGACGGTGGCGGCGCCCTTCGTGGCTCTTCACCCCTCGGCCGTGGCGGCCCTCTCCCCATGGATCTCAAGCACGCCATGGCGCCCCCCCCTCAGATCCGGCCATGATGGCCCTCCCCAATCCCATTGATGCGGTGATGGGCCCCCTCCGGTGTCCCCCGGCGGCGCGTTGCTCCCTCCCTCCACACCGGCGCCTGCGCCATCCCCCGCCGGATCCGCCGCCCTCGGTCCCTCGCGCACGCCAAGACGGGTTGGCCGGCGACGCTCGGCTTCTCCTCGTATTTGCTCCCCAATCCGCCCGCCGCTCGATCCGCCATCGACGGCAGCTTCTGCGACCAAGAACCGCTTCACAGGCGGGCATTGGGCGGCCCGCGAGAGGGGGTCGCGTGGAAGCGGTGAGGTGGAGGAGGCGGGCGGGCTCTCGCGTCTTGGGGACTCATGGGGGGCGTTCTTTCTTTGGGGCGGGGATGGTTGGCACGAGGTCTCACTCTCGATCATGAGCAAAGAGGAGAAGCGGCGCGGCACGAAGAAGCGGCGCTGGCGAGGAAGAGCTTTTTGCTCGCAGGGATAGGAGGAAGAAGGGTAAAAGTGTCTTTGTTCAACAACATTTATTACTTTTAGTCAGTCTTAGGAGGTGCAACCAAACATTCTTTTAGGAGGTTTTAGAATGCTGCCTAAAACTTTTAGAAACTAAAGGCATGATTGGTAGCCTGGCTGTGCCTCGGCCTGGCCCGTCTCGTGCAAATTTATCGCGTTTGGTTTCCTGGATTGGACTTTGGGCCTGTCCCAGCGCATGCAAGATTCCTCTCTCAGCCAGGCTGAGAAGAAACGCGGCGAGGTCTCGTTTCCATCGATCCTGGCTCGCGCGGCGCAAGAACGCATACGAACGGTGCCCACTTGTGAGTAGGAGAGCCGCGATTCGCTGGAACCAAACACCAGACTCTGCTGCGCCTGGCTGAAAGGAGAGCTAAACCAAACACTCGCACGTGCATGCAGTAGACCTGGCTCTGGCCGACCAGGCTCTGCAAGTCCAGCCAGGTCCGGCGTGCGCGAGGTACCAATCACGCCCTAAAGTTTTAGAGCTCGGAACCAAACAGGGCCATATTGTCGTTGTCTGTCTCGTGATTTCTGAGTGCGAGCACCATCGCCTGTTTTGCCTAGTTGCAGATCTTATGCTGTCTGACTTCACGATTCTACAAAAATGTTCTTTATTTAGGGCATGTTTGGATACCATGACTTATTATTAGCTAGCTAATTTTTAGCTTAAATTATGCGTTCAAACAGGAGAGCTAATAGGCGGATTAATTTTTTAGTCTTCATTTAGTTGTTAGCTAACTAGCTAATCAATCATAGCTAATTTAAGTTAAATTTTAGCCCTACCTAGTAACTAGCTATGTGTATCAAATATGTTTTTATTCTCACAGTGAATCAGCATTAATCCATTATTATTTGACGTTTCGGACGGTCCTCTCTAAAACGTCAGATAATAATATGGCGCGCTGAAAAATGTGATTAAGAGAAAAAAGAGAAAACATCACGTGACCACGGCCCAAAGCAAAAGGAACATCACGTGACTACGACGCAAAGCAAAACGGAAAAACTATTTGATGCTAGTGATTTTCTAATTCCGCTCACTCGATTTCCTGAGCGTTGGATCTTTGATCGATTGATCTCGTGTGCTCCACATGGTCCCCCACCTGGCCCCCTGCACCGCTGCATGCATGCATTCTGATTCAAAGATGATGGTATGCCTAGTCGTGTGGGGCCTAGGGTGCCAGGGTGCGGTCGGGCGCCTGCTCCCGCATGCTGCTGGCGCCTGGGAGCATATACACCAGCAAGTGCAGGTGAGTCAGATCACAGTGCATGCAGGACCTCTCTTTGTCACCTCAAGTCACCTAGCCACTTGGGCATCTATGTACACATATTCATTTGTTTAGTAGGTGCAGATTACATCTTAATAGATCATATTTTACTATTTCTATTTAGATGTAATTTTTGGGTTAGGTGTAAATTGATTATTTGTAAGTGACAATGGTCAGAATTACCCGGACCTATCTGATCAATTTTTTTGGCTTTTCTTTTGATTTTTTGTATGTTTTATTTAGTTCCTCTATGAAATTTTCCCATTTTCGCCAATGCTAGAGCTTGAGGGCCCCATCTCTTCTCCATCCGTCGCCAAGATCTGCTCCTGAAACATTGATCTTCCTTGCACAAAGTAGATTAGAGTTCAGGGTAGGGTCCTACATAGTTGCAGTATCCTGATTTCCTCATCTGACACTTTTTGCAAGCTTTGTTTTAGTATCAGGGATGCATAATTAGAATTTAGAAAAAATACGTACAGGTTACCAGTATCATGAGTGAATATCACTTTTATGGTTACTAGTAAATGGGACTTTCTGTTTTATTTGCCAGAGTATAATTAACTTCCATATGGACATATAATGCCACCGCAATGTATGCTTCGATTGTAGTTGCACCTGTAACTATGTAATCTTGCTAGGCAGTTCAGAGTGACGCATCAGGTTGTCCTTGCATTCATTTACTCTTCTACTAGGATATTGCTAAGTGTTATAGATCTTAAAAGATTAAAAGTCAAGGTCAGTTTTGACAAGAAAAGGATATTAATATTCTTCTAATCACTTATATTTCATTTGTTTTTAGGACAGTTCCCAGATCATGTTTATATCGTGTATGCATTAGGAATCCAGCGCAAACTTAGGTTAGGTGGTAATTGTTAACAAACCCTCAAATAGCATGGTAGGAGACAGGTATTAAGGGTGTATAAAAAACAATCTATGGGTGGTAATTTTTCTGAAATCCATTTTCAAGGCTCCTTCCAGTAGGAATGTAGGATACAGCTTACTCTTGGGATCTTTTGCATGTTACTTAATTTTTGACAGCTATTATTTTGGTTAGAACTGTGCACTTTGGCTAATCTTACATCTGGCAAATCCATGCTTGTTTAGGTATTGTACGCTTGTTGCGATATGAATGCATAGTAATCTTAGTTTTCCTAAAAAAATAAAAATAAAACAAGGCCGCACTCTGTAGCCAAACATTCTTTGTGTACCTTTCTCAACCGCAGCAAAATTATTGAAAGATGAGGGTGCTATTGTTTTTTACTTAAGGGGAATAACTAGACTGTGTACTCTAATATTTCTAGCCTAAATGATTAGCTTACCCCTTGTTTGTTAATTTCATCCCTAGACTGGTTTGAGGCTTTACTAAGCATGCGTTGTGTTTTTCAAAGTGTTGAAATTCTTAGCAGAGTCACTTGACTTGGAAGGAACTAACTTTTCAGGAGTTTGCAACCATGCATTCCACTTCCACTGTATCAGTCGTTGGCTAAAGACCCGTCAAGTGTGCCCTCTTGGTCAGTATCCCTGGCGTTTCTACCTCTTTATCAATGTGATTGTTATTTGTTATTCATGCCCGTCCACACCGTCTCACCTTATTTGTAATTTGACATTGCAGACAACAGTGAGTGGGAGTTCCAGAAGTATGGTCACTAGAGAGTGGCTTCGGCGTCGAGTTGCTTCATGTTTCTCGTAGTTTAGCAGTAGTGGTAACTGAATACTGATGAACAGTCTATGGATTGGTAACGTTTCTGAAGCTCTAATTTTGGTGTATGCCATATTCATCCTTCAGGCACTGTTCAACAGATCTTCCTCACTTGAAGCTGTAGAGGAATACTCTGTTTGCAGAAATTAAGTGGTACTTGGCTATATCAATGTTTAGCTCTCCGTTTCCCTATATTGGCATATGAATTTGTGACGTTTCCGTCAGACGAGCAACCTTTTATATACGGTCAGAGGACATCAAGCTTTGTATTCAACGGAGAAACCAATGACTGTCCTACGAGCTCCTGCGGATTCGTCCTGCCAGATAGAGGACACTGCCGGTAGCGTTTCCCCTGAAAAAGATGTTTGCGATGGGTAGGACGCAAATTTGTAGACGAATAAATTCGTTCCGGATCTTTAGGCTTCAGCAGCGAATCACACTGGATGTGTTACAACTGGCCCGGCCCGCGTCGATTGATTGTTTTTGCCATCTTCAGCTTCCAACAGCAAGTTCTCGTTGGCAAATTTATTTTGCAATTAGTAGCGATCGAATTAGCTGTGGCATTGAATTTTTTTTCATGTATATGTATGTAATAAAAACGCAGGTACAACCGTGATGAATGCAAGCTCGCACATCAGAGAGGTAGAAAAGGAGAAACAGAACCCACCACTCGCTTTCTCAAGAACAGTATAAAAGAGCACTGAACAAGTAACCATAATAGCATTTGAAACTTTACAACAATCATCAATTTGAACATTTCATATATTTCTAAATATAGGTAA